AGAACAAGCTGGCGTTGAAGAAGCTTAGCCACCAACTTTCTTCAATCAAAGGTTAACCATCAACTCTCTGCAGTCAAATATTGTACAAGAGATACTAGTGAGAGGAGTTAGTAATACAATAATCATTCGATTGATTTCAACTTGAAAATTGCACAAATAACCGAGTGAAGCAATACAACAACGTGCCGGCCAATACGAAGCTGGACAAGGGTAAACTATACTCGTTAGTATGTTGCTGTCACAGCCAAACCATCATGGATTCTCCACCCAGCTCGCATTGGCTGAGCAATGCTAGCATGAAATGATCAAGCGGTTAGAGATTCATGTACTTGACAAGTTCTTTGTAAGTACTATGACAAGAAAGTAAGAATTGTAAAGCCGCAAAAGTATTGCAATAAGATACAAGAAGCAAATTAAATGAAATAATAAACAAGGATGGATTGTATGATAAAGACAATTGGACGGTCAAATCCAATATTGGAGCATAGGCGGACGGCGGGTGGGAGCAAAGTATTGAATAGAGGATATATATCCAGGATTATACCAATTATTCATGAACAAATAAATGCAGCCAGCCTAGAACAAGTGCAAAGCCAATATGCTCTACTGGATTTTTGAACCGAATTTGCTAGGCATGCTATGAATGTACTAGCTGCAGGCAGACATCTGACCTTCGCCAGCAACAAGTCTTATTGGTCTAGACTCCAGACAAAAACGTTCATAAGGTTCACTAAAAAGAGTCATCATCCCGGCCCGGAGTTTCTACTTCACTTGAATGATGGAAGATCTGGGGCGTTCCTGAAAGAGATATATATAGATTTATATTTGAGATCTCAAGTACATGGAACCCGGATCAAAGTAGGGGAAGATTTAGGCCATCATACATGGTTGATGTCAACCCCACCTGAAATCGGGCATCAACAAATCACCACAGGCCGAACAAGCTGCGATCCGGAGAAAAGTTACATAGCTTGAGCTTTAAAGTCATGAATAACCGACTAACTCATCTTATTCCACACCTAACCATTCAAACTACCCCTCAATACACGTTCACGAACTTACTTTGCTATGTTCACCTACAAATTTATCAGTTGATATGAGAATTAAGGTAGACTGAATTTATGAGATTCCACAAGGTGTAGTGGCAGTACCTTTCAAGTGTTCTCCCTCTGGAATTCGTGCATGTGGAGTTAGTACTATCAAGTGATTACGGCAGCAGCAGCGTTTACAGCGGCAATTACGACCTAAGCGACATCTTTGTGGACAAACGCATACAAGGAGAACTAGGATTCAAAACCATTTCAGAGAGTTCAAGAAAACTCTGTGTACAAAGACAAATTCAGATTCGGAAACTCTAATTGCATGACTGCAATTTCAAAAGTGAGGTGCTTACATGCACGTAATAATTGAATTGAAATATCAATTACATAGACTTTCAGTCCGCATGCATTAAGAGGTGGATCCTTCCGAAATCTGTGCTTCTGCTGCATCTGCGCGTTTGAGATTTTGGATCCACAGACTGTATTCGTATGCATCAAGAGGTGGATCCCTCCAAAGTCTGTCACCTCTCACCCTCTCTCTGCCCCACCCTCCCTCCCTCGCTCCCGACCAGCAAAAGCAACACAAAAAATGTAAGAAGCGCGCACGCAAGCAGCAAAAAAAACTCTTCCCTTTTGTCTAGCTCCATGCCTCTCAAGGCAGCACTGGGCTATTCGGCTGTCCCAAGAAGTTTGTGCTCCTTTTGCTGTAGATTTCCTCGCAGTACGCCGAGAAAAATATTTTTTTTTAGGGTAAAACTCAGGGTCTCCCCATGTTTACTCTAAAAAAACTTGGTGTGTAACCCCAAGTCTTTTTAAGGTGTCAACCGGTTCCTTCCGGTTGTCCTCCATTTCTCCCTCTGCTCCGGAAATGATCGGCCTATTCTCGGGGGAATGTCAAACCCTGAGAGAGAGCTGCAGTGCATGTCATCCAAGAATGCAACATGATGAACAATTCAGCGGTGTTCGTCTCCAAAAGTTCATCTTCCTGCACGAGCGAATCTTTTCAAATTCAGTTGATCTTTTGTTTACGCAAATTGTTCAGTTCACATAGAAGTTTCAAATGCTTCTACTGTAATCTTCAACTGCTCGTCGGCAACTTCAAAACCTGATCACGAACTCTATGATTGAGCCAACAAATTGAGATTGTGAAACTCAGTGTCAAACAAAAAAGTGCAGAAAAAATACTTCTCAAGAAAAAATGCAGATTCCGAATGTCTTTGTCTATGCTTTACTCCATGTATTTTGTTTATTTTTTGAAGGTTAAATATATTCTAACATGTCTTCTCATATCCATGCAGATACTTTGAGGTGCAACATGGCCGACGTTACTCTCGTTGCGGATTCAATTCCATACTTGTATCCAAGTACACATGAAGAATCTATCGCTCTCTCTGATCAGACAACGACAACATTCACTAGTCGTAAACAAAAAGCAAAATCCTCTACAAGTTGGGTTTAGATTCATTTCAAATTGGTGAAAGATTGCAATAAATACCTTATCATCTGCCTTGAGCCCATAGGTTCTTAAAACATTAGATGCACTACCTTATGTTTGGTCAAAACTGGAACAAGCTCGTTGTCTCTCCTTGTAAAACACAATATTTCAAACAGTTAAAAATTAGGCAATCCTCTTCATACTTTTTTTGGTGTAAATGATGAAGCGCAATATCCCTATGAGTTTGACAAGTCTAAAGAAGCCAATTTAAATGCCTTGGTTGCAATTGTGATGGATCACCAACAAGCTTTCAACCTGGTCAAAAACGAGACATTTTGATCATTTTGCCTACATCTCAACCCCATTACTCACTATCATCGCGGCAAATTCTAACACGCTCATTATCTGATCATTTTGAACAAACACTACTACAATTTTGTTCAACTATAGATTCTATCAAGGGAGCAATTGCCGTCACTCTGGATTGTTGGTTGTCTTGTGTGATGCGTGGCTATATGCTGATTACATTGGATTGATGAAGAGTGGAAACTTCAATCTGTCGTGTTGGAATTTTGCTATTTTCCGCCTTCACACAATCAACACACTTCGTCGAACTTGATTCTTTCAGTGGTGAAAGATTTCAACACGTGGTCTAAGATCAATACTATTACATCCGACAACGGCGGAGAGATGCCACCGGGCATGATCATTGTGGGACATAATCTGAATGATCAATACTCTTTTAGGTTGAAAAATGATTTTCATATCTGATGCATTTGTCATATGATGCTACACATTTCATAAAAAAAAAAAAATGCAAATTGTAACATTAGGTTTTAGAAAGAAGTTCACTCGAAGATATAAACGTAAACTCTGAAGATGAAAGATATCAACAATGGTTCTATTCTCACTTATATAGCTCTGACCAACAAATACAAGTAGATTGAGTGAGAAATGATAATTATATATTGATGATAATGAAGTTCTCATTGTTGTTTTCTATTTAAGGGTTGATGAGATTTATATCATCAATCTTCAAACATAAACCTTTTAACATCATCATTTTGGTAATCTATTGTATTTGTTTTAACATTAATTTTGTTTTGACATTTAAACTTTTTTATAAATATAAATTTTATACTATAAATATACATTTATAATCAAAAAATTTAAGATAAGAGCAACTATTTGTTCTTGGAAATTCTATTGTTTACAAATTCAGGTATGATAAAATAATGCAATGCATAATTAATCTAAAAATTCATAAAAAATATTTTATTTAATTTTATATGATAATAATAATAACTTTATACAAAGCACGATAATTAAGTTTTTATTTTAAAACCACTACTTGTTATCAATTACATCGATGTTATTTTGAATATTTTTTAAAGCTGTTGGCTAAATAAGTTTGAGTTTGAATAAATTTTGGGAAGTATTCATGAGGGGGTTTTTTTTGTGGGTCTCATGAGAGACTCTCTGTTTATAATTAAGATTATACATTTCAAATCTCATCAATATCAATCATAGAAATCATAATGTTTTATGAAATAAAAAACATGAAAAATGAAATTAAGAGTTTTTTCTTATTAGCATTCAAATTTAAGTCAAAATTTCAATTTTCATAATGCTTTTCATCTGTTGTCCATACTAAGCAAAATTATGAAAATATTGACACTCATCTATTTGTTTGAAATTCAATGTCTACTGGTTATCATAATTGCAGTCATAATCATCAATCAAAACTCAATTAGAATTATGATGACAATAATTTCATAGTGAACATCAGATTTCAAATAATAATCATTTTATTTCGATTATAAAATTTGATATTAAATAATAAAGAATAAGAATTAAAAATCAATCTAGATAAAGTCATGACGCAACACTTTTTTAACATCATTGATTTCAATCTTATTAACATGTAAACATGAACGCAAAATCTATTCATTTCTGCTTGAATTGATCTCTTCACAACATCTCTAAGATTTTAACTCTAGTGACTTCCCACATTGTGATCTAATGTATTCCGGTTTAACTAAATCTACTCAACAGTTTCTAAACGAGCAATGTGAAATCAAACTGATTTGTTCTTGTCTTGATCAGTGGAATTCTTCTGGAGACATCCGATATAAAATCTCTGCATTTTAGAAATCTTATCCTTAACTACACGTTCACTTTAAAAAAATTCGTTCTCAATCTAGCTTTAACAGCAATCACGGGGATCACTCTTCGTTTCAGCACTCGTATCATCAACGCAACAAACACCTTATAGCAAGTGCATCACCATAAGAAACCTATACACTCAAGCAGAAAAATTAACAACCTTCGCTGAAAAACGAGGAAATGTGGGAAAGACGAATAGAAAAAAAAGAAAAGAAGAGGGAGCTCTCACAAAAGTGTACGAAGAACACAAAGAACAAAAGGTCGATCGAACCCGGAGGTTCGAGAGGGAGTAAGGTTCGGGAGGCAGGTTCGGCAGCTTTCCCGCCATGAGCTTCATGATCGAGCTCGAGCTGGAGCTGCTGCTGCTGCTGCCAACGAACGAGAGACGAGGGGACGAATCGAGCGCATTCTTGATCGTCAATTTGACGATCGAATTGCGAGTCTGGCCAGTTTTTTCGTGCGGTGCGCTTTTCTTATTGCGGGGCGTCTTCGTGTTCTGCGTTTTCGTGAAATCGAGAGGGCTCGAAGGAATTTATGGTTCTTGATTTGTGCGGTTTGGTGGGTGATCGGACTTGGAGGATGAGGATGAGGAGGAGGTGATGATGAAGGCCGGTTCGGCTGCCGCCGCTGCTGCTGCTGCTTCCGTTGGTGAGGCGGGGGCAGCGAGTGCGGGGCATGGAGCTGATGCTGCTGGCGTCGATGCCAAATTGAAGAGACTGCATTCGCTATTGTTTGGGTCGGAGAATGCTCTGGCTGCGGCGGATTCTGAAACAGCGCTGGGCTTGGCATTGCGCCTTCTCGGATTTTTAGGGAGTGAGAGCAAGACTGCCGAAGATGAAGCGTATATTTGCAAAATGTTGAAAGTCGTCCATTCCACCGTCGACACAGCACGGCGAGGTCTCAATTCTGGCCGGTGAGATTGCCGTGTCTCTTTACATCACTCTTCTTGTCTTCCTGTATATTTGTGAATTGTTGAACTTTCCTCAACGAATTTGAATGTTTGTCAATGAGAAGTGGACCTCGCGGTAAAATTCAGGGGCAGAATTTTCTTCCTACAGAATCGTCACCAACAGAAATTGCTTCTCTCTCTCTCTCTCTCTCTCTCTCTCTCTCTCTCTCTCTCTCTCTCTCTCTCTCTCTCTCTCTCTCTCTCTCTCTCTCTCTCTCTCTCTGAGTTTGAACTTCTTTGCCATAAACTTTTTGCGAGTGAATTGTTTTGGACTCTCGACGAACATCTGGGGTGGAAGCATTGACTTTTAGTTCTTTTCTCGTGCCCAGTGAAGCCCAGGAGCGAACCAGATCCGATGAACCACGCTTTAGCGCGCACAGCTGCTCCATTGATCTTCAGCGGATCAAGAATTCAAAGTACTTCTCGTCTGTATATAGAACACCTGACAAAACACCAGTTAAGTTTCAGGAGATAACCAATTGAACGCTACTATTCCATTGCAATGCATGTCTTCTCTAGTCATGGGTGCGTATCCTTGATGTCTTCCCTGGCCTTCAATTGCCGTCTCCAGCTCCAAGAATTTGCCAAGCTCTTCGTTTTGTACGCTCATCATATCTCCAGAGAACTCTTACTTCTTAACAGCGGTTTCTCATGGTCGTCTCGTTCATAACTTGTTTACAGGACGAGCTGTCTGCTTCAAGGGATGGAGCCACAGCCCAATTGAGTCGAGCGCCATCAATGCCTACTGTCAGGTCTGATCTTATATTCCCAAGGATGGAGAACGAGAAAGGGGCCGAGCGCAGAGTACCAATTTCTGCTCGAGGTATGATGCAATCGAAGATCACAAATTATGGTGGAAATGGAGTGAAGCCATCGGGGAACCAATATGTTTTGAAAGCGGAATCTTCCGAGAATTGCAGAGTCCCGTGCAGGAGGCTCTCCGCGGAAGCGGTGGAACCATATGCTCCTGCAGCCAAACACTCCCTTCCTTCAGAACCAGTGGCGAAAGCAACCACTTCCAAGTCAGTGCCCAGACGGACGGCGGATATAGTCGATTCTGATTTCATACCGGCTCCAGATGATGAAGAGGATGACAAGAGTTTGTGGAACAGTTATGGATCTGGACGGAAACGAGGTCGAAATTCTTATCTGCACAAGAAAGCCCAAACTAAAACTAGGGGTGGGTTCAGAAACGATGACAGTGATGATGAGTTTGGAGAACGAGCTCCGAAAGTCTCTTCTTACATTACGCGGAAAAAACAGGAAACGATGAAGCAACTTCAGAAAAAAGAGGAGTGTGGAAGTGACAGTGAAGACGATGTAGAAGACAGGGCAAATGCTTTTGTGACTGCAAAGCAAAAATGGGTAAGTAGATGGGCTTATCTTAAACAAGCAAATTCCATAAGGCAGTAATTGGCACACACGAACTCCTCTACAGGGATATCTCAAGACAGGAGAACTGATATGAGTTTGATTGACAGGCCATGGAGTCGTTGTGCAAGCGAATGTCGTCTTCCAATCCAGGAGGAAGTAATTCCTTTCCAAATGGAGGAAATGCGTCGAGTAATGGTCGTAATGGTGCTGCCAAATCCCTGGGGGTTCGACGAGGAGTTCGAGGCAACTTCGTTCCTCCCGTTCGGTTTAATGGTGGTTCAACAAGTGGAGCTGCAGCGGCGCCTCGTCAACAGCATGGGGGAGAGAATGGTGTCGAGGACTCCACTAAGAAGTGGTAAAAACAATGAGCTATGTGCAAAACGAAATCTTTTAATGCTCCTGGCCCTGTAGACTTCTGAGTATTGCAGGTGTGATGTTCTCAAATGCTTAATGTGTTAGTCGTTCTGATGCAGTTTGGAGCTTCTTGTTGGCCCTGATGGCGAGCTTCCTGAACGCCTCCGCAATCTGGAACCCAAGCTCATAGAACATGTCAGTAATGAAATTATGGAGCAAGATCCCAACGTGCGTTGGGATGACATCGGTAAGTTTAAGAGCTATCGCTGCTAGATGCTCGTGTGTCCCATGCATATGTCCGTTCAATAGCATACATTTTATTCCACTCGTTATATTGTCGCTCCAATGACTAAAAATATTTCATGTTGGTGCTGTACCTGCAGCCGGGCTCGAGCATGCCAAGAAATGCGTAACCGAAATGGTCATTTGGCCTCTTCTGAGGCCAGACATATTTCAAGGGTGCAGGGCTCCAGGGAAAGGCCTGCTGCTCTTCGGACCACCGGTGAGTATCCGCCGATCCAGAAGCCGGTTCTTATGGTTACTAAATGCCTGACTCTACCTTTTCTTCATAAATATTGTCTCATAGCTGTCTCTGAATGGTTTTTCCATAATACCATAGGGTACTGGAAAGACCATGATTGGCAAAGCGATTGCGGGGGAGGCGAGAGCAACGTTCTTCTCAATATCAGCAAGCTCTTTAACGAGCAAGTGGGTCAGTATTTCAAGTCCGACTTCCAAATGGCAATTGTGTCCTGTATGTTTGCCAATATTGAAACAAATCTGAAATGTAGATGTCACTGTTAGACCTCGGCTTCTTGAATATGAAGCCTAACTTGTTTGAGTTTGTGTTATGGTCTGTTCATAAGGAGTTTGATTTGTGTTTTTCAAGCTCCATCCGAGTTAGTTCTAAGACTTTGAACTATGGGCGTACAAATTGTTTCAATGTCAACAGATTGGGGAAGGAGAAAAACTGGTGAGAGCGCTCTTTGGAGTGGCTAGCTGCCGGCAACCTGCTGTGATTTTCATTGACGAAGTAGATTCTCTCCTGTCTCAGGTAAATTAGCTGTGGCTTAAGAGCTCACCTTTGGCCGAAGTTGGCACTGAGCAACATGTCAGCCAAGAAAGCTATCACATGAAGTTTGTAGCCATGAGCAGTGATAAAATCTATTTAGCTTTCTTTGTGTAGAGGAAAGCCGAAGGGGAGCATGAATCAAGTCGAAGACTCAAAACTCAGTTTCTTATTGAAATGGAGGGTTGCGGAAGTGGGACGGAGCAGATTCTTCTCATTGGTAAGGAAGCCAGCAAGAAAGGTTTTCTGTTCTGCTAAGTTTCCTATCTGTGCAATGTCACGAAGTCATTTAGTTTGTACTTAGACTTTCGCCACTATGTAACAAGGAGATTTTTGGTTTGTTCGACGGTTTCCCTGTCTACTAAACTCTTATGAAGATCTTCTCCACTCCGTGTGATCAGGAGCAACAAATAGACCTCAGGAACTAGATGAGGCCGCGAGGAGACGCCTGTCCAAGCGACTCTACATACCTTTGCCTTCTGCTGGTACTGTTCAACACTAAATTCCCGGAGTGGAAACAGCACATCCATGCCCTCCACTGTGTATATGATTCCACATATTAACTTTACTATTCAACATCCTCATGAATTAAAAAAAAACGTTTTTTGTTTCTGTTCAATTGTACGTATTGTATGGTTGCTTTCAATATGAAATTTGAAAATAGTGTAGACTGTCCATGTCTTTCATTGTTTATTACTAATTTGTTCACCAGCTGTTCTGCTCATGCCGTGAAGAATGTCTACCCGTTCAACTACCACTCGACGTTAACGTCAAGTGGTAGTTTAACGGTGGTATAGCGTGCTTCGTGACCATATATGCTTGAAGCAGGAAACTGTGGGTCTATGCTGAATGTAGGCAAATGCATGAGTCGTGATACTGTGTGGAGTCTCATGTAACGAAGACGAACATTAGAGTCACAGCATGACAAGAACCTAGTTCCGTGAAGATCGAAGGTGACACTTCGCTGACTGATAGAGGTCCATTGTCTCATGTACGCAGCGGCAAGAGCGTGGATTGTCCGTAGTCTTTTGAACAAGGACGGGCTTATGACGTTATCGGATGATGAAGTCGAAACAATTTGCACCAGAACCGATGGTATGGTGTTCGATGGTCCTGCGGAATGTCACTGAATGTCAAAACTTGTGCTTTGGGGTCTGACTGATGAAGTCAAGGAACCGTGTTCCGTTATCGCAGGGTACTCGGGTTCTGACATGAAGAACTTAGTGAAGGAGGCGTCCATGGGTCCTTTACGGGAGGCACTCACGCAGGGTAAAGACATTAGCAAGATCAGCAATGACGAAATGAGATCCATATCTCTTCAGGTAAACAGCCGGATTCCTGGAATTGATATATTTACAGCTGTATTGCAGTGCATGGTGTCCATAGTAAGTCTTGGAACCAGTAAGTGGATGTGCATGCTCTGATTCGCAGGTAGATGATTGTCCAACCGAATGCTAAATCTTTACCGTTCTTTCTTTCATTATCAGGATTTCATGTCTGCTTTACAACAAGTAAGAGCTTCGGTTTCTCAACATGAGCTCGGGTTATATGAGGATTGGAACAAACAATTTGGAAGCTTAGCTTTGTAGATATATATAAAACACTGGATTCAGTCTAGACCTGCATCTTGTGGTTCTTACGTAGCGTTCACACTTTGATAGATATGCATCTCTGTTGAATTCTTTTAGAACCGCGATTTCGTTTTGTGCAATTGGACAAAACATTTGTTCCCCGCACAGAGCTGCTATGACGTACCCTTCAATTCCAGCAATGGTGCCGTTCACGAGGAATTCATAAGGGACGTGAAGGCAAGTATCACCTCATGTCTTTGACAAGGAGATTGAATGGGAGTAATGAAGATGCATTCCGCACAAATGGCAGTGAAATCTCATGATAGTGAAGAGGCTTTAGAGTTAGTTGTAAAGGTTCTGAAAAAGCTCTTCAAGAGAAGCTCTCCATTGCATTCAGAGGAATGTAATACACAGCTCTGCACTGATACAATGTCTCTCGAGGTACTGATTGCAAGAAATATTGTGTCTTGAAACCAGTACGTCACTGTACAGTGACTGGGAAAATGATCCCGTGGAATGAAACTGGAATGAAACTCTAATTTCATGGCAACTTGTTCTATGAGACAAAACCTGTACATGCATCAACTTCTTTCTTACAATTGGAAAAAATTTCTACTTCTGAAACTTCCGCTCACCTTCTCAAATTAGCTTTCCGGTAGAGGATTTAATTCCGTTGTTTCTAAATCTCCGATTGTGTATCTTTGTGACATGACTTCGTATGAATTAAAATCTGGTCTTTGGTTTATTGGGACGACAGAGTAGAGCATGAAAAAGGCACATGTATAGATACTGACATGCCACCAGCTGCACGAAACAGGTTATATATATTAGACCTCTCACACTCCTGCATCTTCAAGCGACATAAGCGATATCGTGTGTATCGCTTGAAACTTAATCTAAGTAAGAAAGAACATAAGACTCGAACTACAGGAAAGAAGTTGAACTGTACACGATAAGATACTTGAATGAACTTGCCTGTGCCAAATCCAGTAGGTCCGAGCGGCTTCCAAGTACAAGCTGAGGATTGCATTGAATAGAAAAAACAAGCCCGCAGCGAGATACAACCAGCGGAACTTGTGTCTGAACTGGCGTACCACTGACTTAGTCCATCTGCGAAGACAGTCATTTTGGTAAAAATACGAACATCTCCAGAAAGACCTGATTTCACACTTCCGGGTCTATACGCAATAGTGCCAAAATAGCAGGTACAGGCCGGCTGCTTGACCTGAATGCGTCTACTCGAGCACGGTAGAAGAAAAGGTGAAAGATATCAGCGAGCGACCAACGTACCCCAACACTGCAGCTAGAGCAGTAGAAAAAGGATTTGAACGTGGCAGCCAACTTTGGGATGAAAAGACTCGTCCTTTTCGAGATTCCAAAGCCCATCCTAGCAGTAAAGCTGAAACGCCCATCACGACCACCACTAGCACATTCCAACCACTTGGGAAAACGAAAAAACTCAAAAGGTTTAGAACAATATCGAACACGCACAAATAAGGCTTCAAAGTATGAGCAACCTCTACGCCAGACACTGCATAGTAACTGTGGCAAACCTTCTCCAAGGCTCTGACAGTAGTCAACGCTGAAAAATAAATTTGTGCAAAATTCTAAATCAATATCACAACAGCGCTTAAACTTTCGTGTGTATTGATCTGTTGGAAAACATCAATGCGGCTAGGGGAGTAAGGAGGAGAAAATTACCTCGTAGCATTTCGTTGTGCAATAGTGGCCGTCAGGACAGCGCACCCTATATGCATCATTCCTTGCTTCGGTCCAACAAAGCCGGCCATATATAGACAAGTCATGATGATCACCAGGAAGGAGAGCCAAAAGTCCAGAAACTGACCCCAATACCCAGCCCGAGACATGTGAGATTCTTGGTCATACTCTCTTCCAGCTGATCTTCTACGAATACAGAACTGATCTTAGCGGCTATGTTTCTCATTAGCAAACGTGATTGAACACTCAAGTCGATTCCAAAATGACTTGGAAATGTGTTGCTGCCCTTTCTCTTTGCTCATGTTCATATCTACATCCATCAACTTCGTCTAGTTTTTCAAAATACCAGCAGCACAAAAAGAAACGATCACCACAGATTGTAGGCAAAATATTCTAATTTGACAAGAGAGTTTTCATACCTGCAACGTTGAAAATGGCATGGCACACCATCCCCCAGAATCACAAGAGTGATAAATTCCACTTGCCATGCCACTCAGCATGAAGGTGATCCACTCTGCATACGCCTGAGTTTTGAGATTATCAGCGTCAGATACTTCATATCCAAGCACATCACATTCTTGGAGATACAGCGATTTAGCAGTTCTTGTGAAAAGTCAGCTGAAAGTTCGGCAGATAAACCAGAATAGGAGTGATGTGAGGACATTCCAAATATAACGGGCATCTGTAATCAAACTTGTCAAGTAGAGATATGCCTCTCAACCGAACTGCTAAACCCAAGACTTGCGAAAGGCAACATGAAACAACGCACCTGATGCCTAATAGCCCAAACACTAGGCAGTATGGCAGCTGCGTTTGAGAAAGTAAGAATCCAAGTCTGCTGCATCTTCTCTGCACAATCGACCAGGCGACCAAGATTATTTGCGTGCCCATAGCCGGTTACCCAGATATAGATACAATAACAAGCAACTGTTCAAAACCTATCTCGAAAAGCTTACCTCCTGGTGCCACCAGGACTGCTGAACAATCGAAATCCCCATGTGCGACATCACAAGTGCAGTGGCTGCAACCACAGAGGTAAGAGAAATTTAAGACTACCGTAAGGAGACGAATAGCACAACTTAAATAAATAATATTCTATCGTTACTGAATCAATGGTTCTTCATCTGTTGCTCACAGAAGTCACAGACCTTATAAAATGGAGACGACCTGCTTCACGGTCTGGGCGGCACTTTCCATGACCAGAGCACTTATTTGGACACCCGTGGAGTATTATCTGCACCTCCGTCGAATATTCTTCTGGTGGAGCATTATAATCAAGAGGTTCCAGGTCTGAAGATACAGCAGGATTGTGCCTTAATCCAAAGCACCATGTGCCTTCATTCGGATAGACTAGGTCGAGGGAATATTTGGAAATTTCTTCCTTTTCCATAACTGAAACATTTTTAGATATATCTACCAAGCCCCGGACCTCACCTACGTCGTTTGGCTGTTCCAAGTTATCCGCTTTTCTCTTCCTAAATTCCCAATTACTGGTCGTAGGGCAGTTTCCGAAGCGGGCATACAATTCAGTGTTTAAAATCGCAGGTGAACTGACAAAAATGGATAACACCCCGCCACTTGCTCCAGTGGGAACTTCCATTGTAAAATAATCCCACGTTTCGTAGGATGTGTTCGAAGGAGAAAGAAGAGAGAACCATCTACTGCCAGAATCTATTGCTCCACGATCATTCGCAGGAAAATAATAGGAGTCAAATGGAGACTCAATTTCTGGAAGCAACACTCTCTGCACACAAATCGGCAGAATTGGAATTCACACAAGGAATCAGAACCTGTATGCTGAAGATCGAGACGGAGTTTAGAAGAACCTCTTTCCTTCCCTATCTAGCCTGGATGTATTACTTAACGAACGGCTCAATACAAGATCTCTAGACCACATACACTTGATCCTCCAAAGCCTATGATTTTAAAATGAAATACTTAATGCACTTATCAAGTCCAAAAACAATGAAAACTTCAACATTTCAGGTCGTTTTGCGAACGTGGCATTGATGAAATAAGTATATGGCAAGGTCCCTTCAGCAATACCTACTTCTAAAGGTAGCACCGTCCACTGACAGCTGTTTCCGAAGAGATCCGATTCACAAGTCCGGGACCCCCAATTCATAGTCAGGCACAACTCATCCCCTATATTTGTCCCTGTTTCTGTGCTGGAGGATATGTTCGAAACCGTCATCGATAGATACCACAAACCACGCCTGGGACTGTCCACAAGTATAGGTCCTGAACTTAGCTTTCGTGTGTAGTCACTTTTCACTTCACTCGGTAGAGCACCATACCGCAGTCGAATAAGTATAACAATGCCATGATTTTTCGAAAGCTCTTGGCATATTTGGTTTCCTGGATGTCCTTCACTGCTAGATGAATTGTCACATTCGAATTTGACTAACATTTCCGATTGAATTGATTCGACTCTTAATGACAAGTATCGTGTTTCACCAAGTTTTACACACTCCTCGCCCGAATAACGATCGGTACGTGAGGCCTGTGACATGTCATGTCGATCGCTGAATGTAAATCCCTTGACCCCAATTGGAGCCGGGGCAAGTACGACTTTCGTTTCATCACTAAGATCTGGATCTGGTGTATTTGAAAGAGCAGATTCAAAAAACATTGTTGGAGGACGATTGGTTATCTCTACTTTGCACTCCGGACCCCCGTATTCTTCATTGGAACAACGCAGAACTTGAACATCCAGCGCAAACTTGTACTCTTTGCCCCGAGAAATCTGCCAAAAGTTCTAGAAAATATGAGTCAACGAGACTTAGATGAAAAACTGCAGTCAATACAACCCTACCATACACATTTTCATGGGGTTTTGTAGAATGAATGCCTTCCCTATATACTAAGAACAAAGCAAACAAGGCGCAGGTGCACGAGATGCTCAACCAGGTGCCTATTTACTTGGGACATTGCGACAGCCATGGACCGATCAGGCAGTCTTCTAAAACCTCGAGAAGTTGTCTAACGATGCGTTTAAAACATTGTCGAAGTACTTAATGTACAGGATGTACATACTGCGCGTAAAAGTCTATCAAGACTTACCATGTGACTTTGGGTTCGCGTTGCACCGATGTCACTATAAATTCCTATATGCATCAACCCCTCCAAGATCTGCATGCCGAAGAAGTATCAAATCATATTCAAATTTGAAGCTGCAAGGGAAATTGTCGAGAGTTAAAGTCTACCGATCCTAGATCACAGGCTTTCAATGTAAATTTCACAACCACCAAAAAAGGTAGCACATACCTCGAAGTTCGAAACATTAAACTCGACAGTCTCGTTGAACCACCCACATTTCCCCGAAACAGACGCGTCTCGCAACTCACCTGCAGCAATTGCTACATCCAGCAGAGACTTTTCTGCCACTTTAAAGGATGCAAACAAAAATGACGGCGTCAAAATAGCAGCGAGAGTCTAGTCGAAGGTATTTTCAAACAGATACTGGAAAGAGCTTGAATAATGTTGCGGGCGTCCATTACAAACATTTTTCAGGTCATAATTTTTACAGAGCAAGAGCTGTAGTTTGATACATGCAAGCGAATGCAGCAGAACATGCTTTTATTTGGATAACAGGAAAGTTGGCAACTGGCAACAATTTTAGAATCAAGTTTCTGGAAGCAGAGAAACGAACCTGGTGGCACGGCAAGAGGTGGTCCATTAAAACCAAAACAGACCAGAGGACTCGCTGCTTTTACACTTGTATGTTCATCCTTCAACACCATTCAAGTGAACAACCTCAAAAACTTGAAGCGAGAAGAGTCCAACGGCGCATATGGATGGAAGCTAAGTCCACCTGTAACGTAAAACTCAGATGGGCGTGGAACTTCTCAGACTGAATCAGGCAATATTAAATTCAAGTAATGTATATCACTTAACAGCAATTCAGTCAAGTTTCAAATGGAGAAAATGTTGTCATGTAGACTTCAATTGCTGAGGTATAGAAACTTACATCCTCCCATTTTCGTGTCAAAGATATTGACAGCGCAGCAAAACCGGTAGGCAAATCGACTGCGATTCACAACCGTAGAGCTCACATAAGTGTCACGCCTTCTTAAGTCCGGAAATCAATTCGCACTTACCTCGATTTAAACAGGAAACGACTGCATGGAGCTCTTCGTACAAACAAGAAGTGGAGCAACCCAAGATGACCAGTGACGTGACGAAACTTCAACGACGACATCTGAGTAAAATTCGACTCACCGAAACATTTCAACAGAAGACCTCTCCAAGAAAAAATGATTGCTCTTGATCTCTCGAGGAGTGGCACATTTGGATTTTTTAAACATAATCTAATGGATACAATTTGAGAGAAGCAAGCTACTATATTTTGACTTGGTTCAAATTTTTTATTTGTGATTCAAAACATTCATCCCTGAATCGTGATGATAGAGTGAACAAACATTTCACCTCTGTAATAACGCCAACTCGTAGGGCCCAACCTTTCATTGGGATACAGCTGGGACGACCAAACCACTGGTTCTGCAGAGAGGCAATTTGAGGGCTCCAGGAGAGCCACCAGAAATAACAGTGACACAATTATCCGAACTGCGCTGGCAGCTGTACTTCTTGTATTCATCTTCGCTCCTGACAAAGAAACCTGTTGAATCCGGACATCATCTCCTCAATCATTCCAGAATTCGATGAATTCTGAGATTATTCCTTAAACCCATTCAATTCCTTACGGTATCGTGACACTTTAAAACAAGAGGTATTTAGAACAGCACAAATAAAATTCTTAGCGACTGAATTTCATTTAAGCGTTACATAATTTACCACAAGCCAATGACAGTCCATGAATGGATGACCTGAGTGAGCTGATGCCGATCTACAACATCCGCGAGTCTACTCCTCATTGCTTGCGCTCCCGGCAGCTCCCGTTACAGGTACCCAGATTCAAACTCGCCAATTGTCCTCCCTCCTGCAGCCGACAAGCGCACAGCAACAAAGACCTGCAGACATATTCAAAATGTCCCCATTCCGGGTTTCGCAATTCTAAATTCTACATCACAGGACTGAAGGATCGGATCCATGCGTGGGCACGCTTCTCTGCTTCCCCGCTCCCGGATTTCCTCCCATCCTCGACAATTCCTCTAAACCCCTGCCCTGTCGTTGACAATTGGCGAGAACAGAAAGGAAAGGAAAGGAAGGAAGGAAGAGCGCAAGATCTGCGCAGCCGCAGGACGGCGACCACGACGGAGGTCCTCGTCGGCTTTCCTTCCCTTCCCTTTCTCTCTTTCTCTCTTTCTCTCTTCCTCCTCCACGGCGTTTGACTTTCTTGGCATCGCCAGAGAGAACGGAAAGCGAGAAACTCCGTTGCGTGCTTCGCGTGCTCTCCGAGTGAACGACGACTTGTGTTTCTGCCGCAGCAGGCGCAGGAAAAAGCCGATTTGTCGCAATGTCGTCAAGCCATTTTCACCAGCAGCACCTCGCGGCCCTGCCCACCACCATCGCCCTGGACCGCCCCCGGCCCCTCCTCCTCTCGCCTTCGGCGAAAAGACGAAGCGAAAAGCCGAATTTGCACATTTCGCTTGCCGGCCGCGGGCGCGGGCGCCGGGTGAAAATGAAAGCCGTTCGAAGCGGCCGCGGGCCCGCTGCTGCTCGATCGGCCCAAGATTGAGACGAGAGGAGAGTGAGCCAGGAATGTTCTCTCGAATAAGATACGAGGTGACACTGCCATCTGACTCCGTCATCGCCGACAACGACCACGTACACCCGCGTTATGGTGTCGTATTTCATGGTCCTACGCCGTCGTATACATACGCCGGCCGATCGTAGTGTTTCCCGTTCGTCTGCGATACACTCATTTGTTATCGTAATTATTTCTGTATTTCGTAATTATTCATGTGCACTCTAAAAACTGTTATTTATTTGAATTGAGACTTTCAAAGAATTGAAGTAGTTCTCAATACTTTTGCTATGGTGTCACGAATAGGCTTGGAGTTTTTGAGATATGGAGTGAACTTGGTTCACAATGTGTTAGATTTGTGTTTTAAACCAGTGAGTTTTACATAATTATTTTAACTCAAAGATTTAAAAGTTGTGATATATTTGTGTGTGTTATTTTTATGTATATATATATATGACATACCAACAATGTAAATTATATGATGATACATATTCGCACGACAAAGATAAAGGTATTTGCAAATGATAAATATTTATATACACATATGCATAAATCTCATTGACATCATCTTCAATTAAAAAACAATATAACTATAAAGATTCCTTAAGTGCTTCATTCCAATTATAATAGTCCATAATGCCACTATTTCATTAGAATTGTTCATACAAAAATAATCAAAGATGTACAGCCTTATAAAGAGAAGTTAGATTATAACTAACATAATAAAACAATAAAGTACTAATATCACGAATCATTTTTCATTCTAAGGAACAAAATGATAATTAATCAAATGATATATTGACAAAAAGTGCTGAAAATAAGTATAATATGCATTCAAATAAAATATAGATTTGTAATCCAATAATAGTGTGTACAAATTTATCACACAATAGTCTACAAAACTTATATATAAAATAATTATTTTTATTTTTATCAAATTCAACTTTTAACTAATATGAAATCAAATTTGTCCATAATAGTTTTTATTTTCTTTTTTGTTATAAAATCACAAGAAAAAAAATTTGCACTAAATCTTAAAGACATCTTTCAATTACAGATTATATATTTATAGTGAAACTACACTATTTTAGCAAGAATATGAACAAAATTGCTAAAAAATGTTATTATAATCACTTTTTGCTACAAATTTATGCATTAACAAACACCTTGCAGCCTCATATTCAAAACAATTGAACAAGGTTTTGCTCGCAATGATGTCTATGATCATGGCCAACAAATCAATTGTTATGACTTCTTTTCATCTCCTTTCTACATCAAAATAAAACTTTATAAGATTCTTCAATTTTGGAAAAAATCACAAGATTGAATAGTTTCAATGTGTTTTAATTTTGTAACATCATCAAATGCAATAAAAGAAACTTAGAAGTGGGTTATGTATACTAATAACATCATGTATACATCATACACAAAACACAATTTCTCACTTACCTGTTAAATGATTTCATTTTTATTTTCATGATTATGTGGTTGGATGATGCAAAATTATGGGTGCAGCGAATTCACTTTCTTGTTTGAAATGACTTTTTGAACAATGCAAATGGATTCATGTATCAAAATTGTTGTTTGTACATCATTCAAACTATTATATTATTATTAATGTACTTAGATCTTGTTATTCTAATGAATGTTGTACTAATTATTTTGACTATTTAGAATGCTATAATATACAAAAGTTGATTGCACTTTTGTTCATTTAGGTTGAAGGTTGCGTAATTTATATCTTTGTGTTTTGTTCAACTTAGCTCCACATAATATACCAGATATGAGATGTGTCAATTTTGTATATCTTTTTGTCATTTGATAATACAAATTCTTAAAAAATAAATTAGTATGTATATAAATATTCATTTCATATTGATATGATTTTAGAAAGTATTTCATATAAATATAAATAAATAAATATATATAAAGCAATCAAAATTCACGCATCTTTGTAATCTGGAAGTTGACACACTTACAAATTCTAAATCTATGAAAAGAACACTAGATGTAATTAACAATGAATAAGCTCTTTGAAACATAAAATTCATGTATTTTCGAATTTTTTATAGAATTATTAATATAGATTTATTAGATATAAATATGCATAATCAATTCAATCACATTTTTTATGATGATCCAAATTTTAGTATTATTATTATGATTTTTCTGTTTTTCAACATTATCTTGATTACGCCTTGACATTTAAAAATTGAAGTCAGAAGTAAACAAGATTTATCAGATTTATATCTCAAAATATAAATTCTAAAATTTATATTATATTATTGAAAATTTTATAATTCTGATAGTATGTGATTGACTACTATAGCTTTTACAATCACTATTTTTATAAAAAAACACAATCATACAAATAAGTATCTAAATTTTTTGTTTATGAGGTTGTTTCATGAGAGATTTTGCAAAAAATGTGAGAGTGCAGACCATATAATGATAATTCTAAAAGCCTTGATGTTATGAGAAGAAAATTTAATATCATATCCATCTATATTTTATGATAGAATAAAAAACTATATGCACACACCTTTTTCTACACTTTATTGTATTCAGAAAAAATTAACTCCACTATTCATGATATATATAACTATTCCATTTATATTTCCATATTTTAAAAATTTTAATATATAAATGGTAAATAGATCAAGCCCGTGGGACCCAAAGTGTCAAAAGGAAAACATAAAAATCATCAGTCAAATCGTATTTTCCAAGGAGTGAAAAATATTATAATTCCCAGGAATGAAAATTGCGTACTACCGAATTAAATTGATAAGCATGATGGCTTTTACATAGATTATGTAAAATACAACGTTGTCTTTTTAGCATTCACATTTAACATATGAATTTATAATGTGTTCGTTTCAACTTTAGCACCATATGAGATTGCATGCAGCTAGCCGCGGCCGCATAACCCCTTTGCGGTAAACAAATGACCCAATAATGAACATAGGCATATAATGTAAAAAAAGTAATTTTTTTCATTTAAAATGTGTTGGAGGTTGGTTCTAACGTTTGTATACTGAATACATAAGAAAAAAAAGGAGTATTATTCAGACCGATATATACAGAAAAATGGCGCTAGGATTTACAGCATTCGCTCTGCTGTTTCAATGCGTAGAAATATAATTATATTACATATTGCCTATTATCCAGGGCCAGTCATCAGTTCAGTATTGAGAACTTTGGAAAAATGGCGACGAGTTCAGTCTTTGCAATAAATTCCATGTTTACCACAAAGCTTAAACACAATTCGTGCTTCTATGCACCGGGACTTGAAGTCAAACTACCAAATCTTCCCCGGCGATTAGTCCACATCACAATAAGAAGTACGTAGATAACTACTATCAAGGCTGGAAGATAATATGTTGGATAAAGTCTATGACAATAAGTACGCCATAAAGGGTAAGAATGGATGTCTCATGAAACCCGAATTATGATAAATATGAACGTATATATAAATAAATATCAACTTCACGACTATAATTGTTGAGGACTAAAGTTTGGATTAGTTTAAGGTAGAACCTAACCAATAAAACTCAAGTTACAAGGTAGAAGGGAAACCAAGTAAAAATAGAATCACGAACAAACCAATTGGTTTATTCAAATTATCAACGGATATTTTCATCTTTGAACGTACCAATCGGGACTTAATTTCCATATTTATACACGCATGAAGTTTTCGACCTTAACCATGTGGATAAGATGGGACACAACCGAACTGCCAGAAAGCTTTACTTTGTTCACGAGAAAAGGTGTTTCTTCTCGAGGACGCTAACCCTATGTGAGGTTGTCCTTCATTCAATGTAGAGTGCTGAGCTTGTCATATTTGCCATGGAGGTGCGACAGGGTGCGATGCCCGTGTAAACCAATCCATTGCCATATCTTTTCAGATCATCCAGCTTATATCGTTACAACTTTTTCCATCAAATTCTGGGCCACGGGTCTCTCTAACTTATTCAGTACGAGACCATATAAAGCATCACTGAATTTCAGAAGTGGTGTTTTCTAAAAACTACGAGGCTTACAGGAATACATTTCTGACGTTGCTGATCAGAATGCGAGGTTTGATATATCCATGTCGTACTTTATCCATACTTTCTTTATTTTCATATTGGATGTATCTTTCCTTGGCCTTCGTTAACAATGTCAAAATGGGGTTACCCATTTCCCTTGTAATCACCTGTTGTGGTATTTCATACACCGGCGGAGACACCCTGGGTCGAATTCTGAGGCTGTGCGTACATTTATGTCACCAGTTGAACACTATTTGTTGGTAAATCCCATTTTCAGACTCAAATTTAACTGGCTAGTCCCATTTGAAGATTAAACCT